GTAAAGTTATTAGTATTGCATTACCTTTTCTGAACTGCCTCAGAGAAGGGTATAGTTTCTTGACAATGTCTAACAGAAGCTATACTTCCCTCTTGGATACTGCATATACTCGTAAGGGATTCCCTGTGCCATGTCATCATTATAGTGTGAAAATTAAGAAGGCTTTCATCTATAACAATATTAAAAATAGACCAACCTAGTATTACTATAGATCCTGATGAAAAAGTAGATCTTGTTTGCTGGTTAATTTATTATAATCCTACTAGTTACCATTCTAATGCTTAAAAATTATATAAAGCTATCAAGGATAAAGGCTACCATTTCCTATATAAAAAAATTCATAAATGGTTGGAGTATTAACAACAGTACCAAATTTATAAGCCTCCTTTAAAACATATTACTAGAGCCAGCTATAGTTGGATATTACATCCTAATTGTGTATACCAGATAATATACTGTTTCTTACACATGACAAATACAAAGGAAAGACATACAAAGCAGTATTAAATATAGTAGATTGTATGTTAAGATATAAGGCCTCAGTTTCTCTTATGTTAAAGAAAAGTTCAGAAGTTACTAAAGCATTTAAAAAAATATATAATAGCCATAATTACCTATTAATCTGGCCTCGATTGTTACAAACAGGTAATGGTCAGAAATGGATGGGTGAGACTAATAGAATAATGGAGGAACATGGTGTAGTAATTCAAGTTATTAGTCTATATTCCTATTGTGGTATAGCAATTGTAAAGAGATTTAATAAAACTCTAGCTAAAATGCTATATAAGATTTAATATAGTGTTGAAAGTATATCCTTAGATCCTAAATTAATAAGAGCATGAGTTAAACATTTATCCAAAGTAATAGATTATCTTATAATTATCCTATACACCTCATTAGAGCTCTTGGCTCCTCAAAGTAAGGGTTGGCATCAATAAAAGCCATTAAATTAGAAAAGGTTGAATCTAAGCCATCTATTTCACAAAAATGTCTTATAGAAAAGAATAAGGAAAAATTAAAAAAGGAAGATATAGTTCATTATCTTCTTGCTAATACTGAATGAAAAGGAGGTATGAAAACAATACATTGCATGACAAACCCAGTATGGAGCCCTTCATTACATAAAATTCAAAAAACCATAGTAATGAAAAATGAACTAGTTTTATATTACCTTGGAAGTAATAATAATGAATATGCTCTAATGCATGGATTTGTGAGAGAAGAACTCTTATACATGAATACTAAAATGCTTCAACTTCTACTCAAAAATATATTATCAAAAAATCAACATACTGAATTAGTTTACTTAATTCATATTTCTAATAATGAATTTGACAAGGCATAGCAATTTGCCAAGAAGCATGATGGAACTTATATAACAAAATCTGGATGAATAAATGACTTAAATGTGTATCTTTGATCATATGAAAATGGAAAACATCAGTAGGAAGTACCTTATAAGACTCAGAAGTTGAAATTTGAATAGTGCCTCATTTGTCCTCATATTTGCAAGTGTAAATGCTGATATATTTTTGAAGATCTGTTAGGTAAGAAATTCCTATCATGTAGGTCTAAGTTCTTAGATGAATTACACTTAGATGGATATAATGAGGAATTACATCTTGCATTTGAATTTTAGAGCCCCCAACAGTATCATCACAATAGTCTATATTATAGGAAAAGTAAAAATTTAAAATCACAAAAGATGCGTGATCAGAAAAAGTGGGATATATGCAAAAACCAAAATATATGTCTTATTGAAGTGCCTTATACATGTAACCTTTTTTTTTATATCAAGTATACACTAATTAAGAAAGGATTTTGGATAAAACTAAGAATTAAAAAAATTATTTTCAGTATATTATTATTAATACTTAGTCTGACATGAAAATCAAAAGCTTGAACTAGTTGATAGGCTAGTATACATATTAATAAAATTAAAGATGCTCAAAAATATAATGGCCTTTTACTTTTCTAATTTCAGGTCATACTAATTTAGGGAAAACTAATAAGGTTCTTAATCTTATACTTGGGAATAAACTTTATCGAATATTTAATGATAAAAAAGAAGAGACATATTATATTAAATATGATATTTGGTTTTGGTCAGTTATAATCTTAAAGAGCTAAAATATATGTACCTCAAATCAGTGTATTAGATAATTGCAAATAGTCTGAAACCATACTGTGAAAATATTACATTCTAATCTTTGAAACCTGATAAAATCTCTAAAGTAGATTCATTTTCTCCCAATAGGAGTACAGTGGCTATATTCGAAGATGTATGTTCTGATTGGAAAAAAGTGCAGGAGAAAATTATTTCTTATTTTGTTAAAGAATAACATTATAATATCAGTTCAATATATGTATTCCAAAGTTATTTTAACTGTTTAAAGATAATATGAAAAAATCTCACACATATCTGTTTGTTTAATGGGTTATGTACTACAGATGAACTAGTTAGAATTGTGCATCAATATGCCAATGACTGGTGTAGTGTGATTAAAATTATTGACAAGTATTTATATGAGCAAAAATTCATTGTTTTCGATTTAACTATACCTCGTGAGCATCTATACAGAATATGCATCAGTTGGGACCAAGTTTTGGAAAAAAGTGTTCCAACTAATGAATAGAGTTTAGTTATTCATATATGTTGTTGTGCTTCTACAAAATAATCGAATAAATAAATTATTAAATATATCTTATCAAATACCAACCTGAAATATTCTATAAGCATTGTCTATATCAGCTAATTGTTTATAATTAGTGGATGTTCTATTCATTCTTTTCAACTCCAATTTTATTTTAATAACAATTACTAACTTTATACCTTTCATCAATATTTCAGTAAAAAATTGATACATATATTGTAGTTATCGATATGTATCTGAAAAGAAGCTAAGAAAGTGTTGATAGAAGTTCCTGAATATGTATCTTATTAAAAAAAATTCTGGTTCATATCAAAAAAAGATTCAAAGCTCTTGCACTTGCACTAGTTCTTATAGTTGATTAAGAGGCAAGAGAGTGAAACAAAAATAAATAAAAAATTAAGTTTAAAATTATATTTTATATGAACCAAGTAAGTTTATCTTGTTTATTTTTCATAGACTGAAAAACCATCCAAGCCAAAGTACTAAGCCATCAAAAATAATAATTATGTCTTTTCGAATACATAACTTACAAAGCCAGAGGCCTTATTGCTTCAAAAGTAGAAATAAAATTTTTTGTATAGCTGAATATATCTGTAACAAGTAACCTGAATAGCTGATCTATCAACACAATAATTTTGCACAAGAAAATAAAAACAAATTATTTATCCAATTCATCTTTTTATTATCATTAATTGGTATTGAATCTTTCATCATAAAATTTTTAGATCAATATTGTAGATTGTGTTTATATAAATTCGATGTAAATACATTCAAACTATTTCTTATCTCGTAGTTCAGTGGACTAAACCACAGGAAGCCTGTATGATCTTCCTCTCCTTACTATGCAAACAATGATAATTTGACAATTATGCCCTCTAAAATTGGGTTTTTATAAGTATAGAAAAAAATAAATTGCAGGGAGGTAATAGTTAGATCTTATGCCTCCTTGAAAGGCTATAACTACACCTAAGAAGACTATTTTATAAAGAATAAGTAGATTGTATATTTTTTGCAGAACAAATAAGCACTTTTACCAAAATACTAGGCTACTAAATGGTAATTATAAGTATGTTTAATCTCATAACACACATAGTCAGAGGCTCTATTGCTCAATATTAGAAACAAAATTTTTTGCTTGACTAAGCATACCTGCACAAATAGCTCTAGCAACTGTCTTATCAACACAAAAACTATCTAGTATAGGAAAGTGTAATGTAATATCAGTTAAAAATTTCAGATAGAAAATAAAAAAAAGATTTTATATATGTACTTAGTTGAGTCTTATACATATAGAGCACAAGGAATGTTTCAAGTTGATTATTGTTATATAGCCTGTTATATTTGGTGTTGGTTATAAATATCCTTTTCTAGACAATAGTATGTTTTCAGGAGATGGTTAGTATAAATATTTGTATTAGAATAAAATTTCGATGTTCTATTAGAAGTCGGATATTCAATCAATATACGATTTATCATTATACTGAAGATATATAAAACTTAGAATAAGCCTTGAATATTCTAAAAATAGGTGACTTCCTGTAAACATAAAATATACATTATTTTTAGATGCAAAGCATCCTCATTCTATGAAACACAACCATGTATGTACACGTATATTTCCTAACTACGTGTTGAATAGTATCTACAAACTGTATTTACAAATATTTATATTATTTTATTTGGTTAAAATAGTGATATGTATTAAAATTTTTGTTGATTTTTATTATGGTAATACAGATTATACAAAATTAGGTATAAGGTATCACATTGCAGAATCATTTCTCACAGTTGATTTTTTTATTAACAAATATTATGAATAATAACTAGACCCTTTTCCTTACTTTATATGATCCTATAATAAGAATAAGACTTAAAAGGGCTATAAGAGTAATGAGTATAACATTCTTTATCAGTAGTATTATCTAAATTCATATGTTATAAGGACTTTGAATCTTTGCCATCTTCCGAGATCATCAGATCTAAACCTTCCTAAAGTGATCATCAAATCTAAAGGAGTTAATTTCATCAAAAAAAACAATAAAATAGATCTGGTGTTTGGAAGTTATATCTGAGTAGAGTTGCTTTGTTAAGTGTGATCTGACATTGTGTTAGAGAAACATAAATACTAATTGTGTAACTTCTCTTTAGATCTAGTGAATTGGATATTATAAAATAAGTGGTTTTAGCTTTTAAGATAAGAAACAATAACAGTTTTTTGCTCGTATATTTTTTTGGCCATGCCAAACTTTTGCTTAACATACTCACAATTTACTTTCAAGGTCTGGTTATTGTATATTGTTTGCTATAAGAGATTTTTTTATTTCAAAAGTAATTTTTTTCTTATTGCAGATTTTTATGTTTCTTGCAGATTTCTCCTAAATAGAGAAACTGATTATTGTTAGCCTTAATTGTATTGTTATTAGAAGCAAGCATGAATATGAAGTTTTTACAATTGAGAATTCTAATGATAAAAAGTATGAATTACTCAAACATATAGTAAAAAAATGCTTAGCATCTTTGTTTAATTCTATTCCTTCTATTCAAATCATTTTACATCCATCCTTCAATAATAATTTTTTTAAACTAATGATTAGAATTTCTCAAGACTTTACTACTACTCCCAATAAAAATAGCATTTATGTTTACATAAACCCCCAAAAAATTAATTTTTTTATTTGCATTATGTAAATATGATATATATATATTTTATTTGTATACCATTTCAGCAATATATATATATATTTATTTTTAAAATAAAGCAAGGTTCTGGGCATGAAGTGCCATTATTTTGAAATATGTTTTTGATATTTATCTTAGTCATTTTTTGATATTTAGTTACCTTTATTAACCTATAATATTATGGTTACTATGTAGATTGAATTCTGATATTAATTTATATAACAATAGAGATAGAGATAATAAGTTTTTGTATTAACATAATTGCCACTCTCCCATTCACCCTTTATATGATTTCTTATATTTCCTTTCTTATGGTTTTTATTACATAAAAAGCAGAGTACAGATCTATTAAAGTCAAAATAATTACTATATTTAAAATTATGTTTCAAAGTTAAATAAGAAAATTGTTCTAATACCATTTCTATAACATGTTGTTGACTTTCTTCAGGGTCTTTAGATAGAACAGAAATTGGGAATTGTCGTTTAGATGACATAGATTGAATATTTATCTGCAGACAAATAAAGTCTTTTCTTCAAAAGATATCTGTATGAATTTAGCATAGATTTTTTCACATTTTTTTATAAGATCATCAAGCCATGCAGTACTCAAACCACTTTTTAGTATACCATGACATAATAACTCTTCACTGACTAGCCTCTCCTGATCTGTTAAAAATTTACAATATTTTCTAAAGTCTTTTTTTCTTTCTATTTTAGCATGATAGAAACATATATCTATTTTCAAATTCCCATGAAAATATTCTGTAGTCCATTTATTTTTCTTAGCTTCTGTAATAACTAAAAATTTCTTAGAATCTATTTTATGTTCGATGGCATATTGGCATAAGCCTGCCTTTGGCTAATAAAGGCAGGTTTTGTTTGGTACATTTACTTGAATTTTCAGTAAGCTCTGTATAGTGATTATAACTTTCTTTTGATCGATATGAAAAGAGCAATTAAGAAAATAGTAATCATTTTTATCTAGACAACTCCAGTCATCTCATATATCTAAACGTGTATATATTTCTTTGCATACAGGGCATTTAGCTTCTAAATTAGTATATTTAAATACATCTCGATGCCATGCATTTGAATTAGTGCAAGACAGAAAAGGAAATTGTTTATATACTGCTTTATGGATTGTACTTTTCTCTTTCAGAAACTTTGAAATTTTAATAATACAGTCTTGTGAAAGATGATTGTTGGCATCCTTTTTGATTTGTTTAGATTTGGAAGTTTCAGAGTTTATCTAGAGATCAAGTTCAGTTTTTTTCTTATATATTTTATATAACTTGGAATGAAGTTTATTAGATATAATAGTTGGCAAATTAGTTAATTTGGAATACCAATTTAGATATTCAGAGGATAATATTTTATCAGACTTGGCTTGTGTATTCATGTTGTTATTTATATAATTTCAAAGCAATTTAATTTCTCACATTGGATATTACATACTAAAAAATATTATTTCATTTTATTTCTTATTGTGTACTAAGTTATAAAGCATAGGACTTTTTGAAATAAAAGAAATGCTTCACATCTAAAGTTTATGCAGTTATTTGAACTATGCACTTTTCACATTTAATATATTAAGTTCCATTTTTATATTCTCCTTCTATGTTATTATCATTATGATCTAATCTGCATAATGGACATAATGTATTGTTAGTAATTCTATAATAATCATCATTTCTATTGCTACACTCTTTATATAAATTAGGATATTGCACTAATGTTTTATTACAGAAATAGATATAATCATGTGTTAGATTGAATGAATATACAGATAATATGCTTATCTCAGTATTCAATAAAGATTTGTTATCCTTACTTATTATATCTTTTGAATTAGAGGTATGAAATAATTGAAAAGAGGAAGTAGATGTTTCTGAGCTGGAAGAATTGGTAATAGAATTTTGGCAGAAGCCTCTAGCTGAAATTTTAGGAGTCAAAGACTTGTCATTTGCATCATGTAATGTAATTTCTGCTTAGTAAAACTATTTATTATTTCTTGAATTTATCATTAGTTAACTCTAAAATAGAATTCACACTATAAGTCATGATATACTTAATTTTGTCTATACCTAAGGTTTCAAATAATTTGTATATTTTTACAGCTTTTTGAATTTTTTCTTACAAGTATTTATATGAAATTTCTGGGAGTTGTAAATCTGTATTTTCAGATCTTTTTTTACAGAAAATAGAAAGGTATTCCAATATTTTATCATAGATTATCCCCTTTGCCTTTTTTTTTATTAATTTTGTCATTACCATTTTGTATAACTACTTTAACCTGAATTAAGAATCCTTTTTCATAATAATACCAGCATAAAATCTCTTTCTGATTGGCATGAATTGCGCCATATTCAGCATCAGTTGCTTTATCAAATAATTGACCTAAAGAAAGCAATAGAACTGTAGATGAATCCTGGCAGGGAGGCTCAGCTGAAATCTCATCATAAGGAGTAATTTTGTCTCCCGATTAGGCATTATCCTGAATGCCATTAGCTATCAACTGTACAATTTTTTCTGCATCTTTCTTTCTATGAGTATTTTGGCAGAAGCTTTTAGCTAAAATTTTAGACTTTCTGTGTTTAGTGTTTCTGAATATCGAAGTTGAAGGAACCAATACCTTAGGTATCACCTTTTCCAGTGAAGTATTATTTAAAAATAAGTTTTGTTGAAGTATCTTTTCTCTAATTCTCTCTTTACTAACCTTTTCTTTATATGTTGAATCTAGGAAATTATCAATTTCTATGTTTTTCAATGATTTAGGCTCTATAAGAATAAGAGATGTGAGATGTTGGTTTTCTGATCCTGGCATATATCAAAGTTAGATAAATCATCAGAATTTGAAGTATTATCAAATATATTAGATGCCAGAATATCATTAGAATTTTTCTTTTTAGTAGAGATAGTATTAACTGAAAATTGATCAATTTCCTTAGCATCATCATTTAATTTAACAATAAAGTTATTCTTTTCATCAGTTTGTGATTGCTTCTGTTTCAATTTTGCAACCTTAGCTTTAAGTTCAGCATTTTCAAAAGCAGTATCTTTATCATTCTGCTCCAGTTTTATAAATCTAGCTTTAATTTCTGCTTTATCTTGTTTTAATTTTATATTTTCAGCCTTGATATCAGCATTTTTTTTTCTAAGTTCATCAATTTGAAGAATGAACTTGGTATTCAATTTTTTTAATGAATCAATTGTGGATTGAACATCTTCCATTGTTTTATACAAGATACAGATATATTTAAAAGTTTAAGTCTGATAAAATCACATGACTCTATAAAAAAAATTCATGCACTTTTATAAGAAAAATTTTTAAAATTTCTCAATCATATGCTAGTTAGTATACATCGATAATAATACAATAAAATAAATTCACAAAATACACATGCAAAAATAAACATAATTATGTATGCAAAATCAGCAACCAGGGTTAGTTTTATTGATATTTTAATTGTACATCTATTATATAATTGTTGGACAAATAATTAATATACTCAATTAGTGTTGTTAGACAAAACTGTTTTGAACAAATAGCAAAAGACAAAACATAAATCTGCTAAAAGATGAAAGACAAAACTCTCTGATGAAACTGTCGAAACCTGATGAAATTGGTAAAACCTAGATGAAATTGACAAAACTTGGCAAAATTGGCGAAACTTAGCAAAACTGATGAAACCTGGCAAAATTTGACAAACCCTTAAAATTCAACAAAGATCAAATTTTTTAATATTTTAGAAAAGACTAAGCCACATTAATGAATAAAATATCTTGTATAGCTATTAAGTACAGCATGTTGCTTATATAAAAAATATATAAACAAAGCAATAGCTTTTTGTTTGTATTCAAATACTATTAAAAGAAAATTAGAATTCAAATATACAAAGTAATAAACAACCTGATAACTATTTGTTTGTATTCAATTATTATTAAAGAAAAACTAGAACATGAGTTTTAGAATTTATAATCAAATATATTCAGCCTTCATCAGAAAAGTTTTTAAAGGTGTTATATATCATTAGTAATCCTTAGATTACTATCAATATATAGCACCCCTGCAGAGTATTATCGTTAGTGATTACTAACAATATATAACAAAAATTTATTAAATTTTTTAAACTTTGACTTATATTTTCTCGATAACTATTGATCCAAATTGGCTCAAATTTTTATTATATATAGTATATATATTCAACTATATAATATTAAAATTTTAACCAATTTGAATAATTCGTTCTTGAGAAATCAGTTGTAAATAATAGTTGATTTTTTAAAAAATTAACTATCGTTTACAAACAATTTCTTAAGAACAAATTATTCAAATTGGCTAAAATTTTAATATTATATAGTTGAATAAATATACTATATATAGTAAAAATTTGAGCCAATCTGGATTAGTAGTTATCAAAAAAATATAAGTCAAAGTTTAAAAAAATTTAACAAATTTTATAAAAATCATTACTAATTGATAATGATTATAATCATTTATAACCGTTATATATCAATAATTATTATATATTGATAGTAATATATATTGATATATAGCAACTAATTGATTTATATCAATTATTTTTAATCTATATATATCAATTATTTTTAATCTATATATATCGATTAAATACTATATATCAATACAAATCTGCTTAAAAATTTTCCTGATGTTGAAATTTAAAGCTTAAATATTTTCTTTTAGAATCACTTATCTATGTATTAATATTATTCATGTAAATAAACATAAAAGTTTTAATTTAAATTTATTATTAAATTGTTGTTTTTTTTTTTCTCTCTTTAACATTTCATTAAAAAACATATATATGTAAATAGTTCATTAACATTATTATGATTAAAAATCATTTTCTGATGCTCTAGCTAGTTTTAATATTATTTGCTGTAATGCCGTATTGTCAGAATACTATAATGTCATAATTGAATTAATTCTTGAATGTGTGGGTAGCCAAAAATTTCGCTGGTCAATCAGATTTCAAGATCTCGTGTAACACAAAAAATTGCAAAAAAATAAAAACAACAAAAAAATTGTTCATAGCTCAATATTTTGTCTATGAAAGTACCTTCTGCGTACTAACAAAAAAATTTCCTTGAGAAATTTTACTATAACTATAACACTTTAAACAAACATCAACCCACTGGTGGGACCCTAACTCTAAACTAAATTGCAAATCAATTTTTTCAATAAGATCACATTGTCGTCCACTCAGATCCTCGATTTTGATTGGCTAACAGCGTGGATCTGTAAAATTTCGGCCCTCATTACATTACTGTTTACTAATTTCTGGCCGGAATTAAGTTTTTTAGCCTTTTATTCTCAAAATAAAAATTTTCAAAGAAATAAACCCACAAAATGGTAAAATTAGCCTACAATCAATTTTCATTTAATGAGCGGCTGTGCTTTCATTAGTAAAATTTTGAGTAATTCCAGCCAAATTTTTTTATCATCACTTTTAGCCAATAAATCGAGAATCTGCCAGGTATCCTTATGTCAAGCGAAAATCAGACCTTTCCGGTCAAATACATGGGTTGGAGTATCTCAAATATTCTATCTATATCTGATGAAAAAGAGTAAGTGCTATACGTAAATTTTAATGTTAAGCATTTTAATTAGAAGCTGGAAGTTGGTTAGCATAATAAAATTTGGCTCTATTTAAGAATTTTTATTTTTTGCTATTTGCTTTGTTACACAAGATCTCATGATTTTATTGGAGCCAGACCAGAAATTTTAAGGTCAAATCTGCCAGAACAATTTTGTTGTGCTATGTTTTCACTAGTTTCGCCAGAGTTCGCTAGTTTCGCCAGGTTTCGCCAGGTTTCGCCAATTTCGCCAAGTTTCTCCAGTTTCACCAGTTTCACCATTTCGTCTTTTTGATTTTTTTTTTGGCAAAACCTAGAGGTTTCGTCTAACAACTGTATACTCGATGCATATAATTATTTTTCTACAATATTATATCGATACGTAACATAATAAAAAAGGTCCAACTCGTAATATTTTATATATCACAAGTAAATATGGTTTCATCGCATACTTTATTACAATAACATGAAGGTTACATATTTTCAAAAAATTACACTTGTATGGCGTAGAAGAAAACTACGTGCTTTACTAAAAATGCTCTAGTGATAAGGTAAACTACTTTTCTCAGCCACCAGTTGTACACTATTTTTTTATGGGCATCAAATCAGTAAGTGTAATAAACAGGTCCGCATTTTCATTATCTGGTGTACGGGTACATGCATCTTGAATATAACTTTTCAGATTGGTCAAACTCCTTTCAAGCAACTCCTAATAATATTCAGTATAATTATAAAATTCTTGAAGATAAATATGAACTTACAGAATATTTTTAGGTCAGAATGGAAAATAAACCTTAAATTTGAGAAGCACTGATATAGATCGTAATATCAATCCCACTTCAACCCTGTTTGTTGGCAATTTTGATCGTAAAACCTTACAAAAAACGTATAATCCATGAAATGGTATCAACATTTCATACACCATTATCTCATTATCTGTAAAAATAAGAGGATGTTAGTTTTATACAATATTAAAAGTTTTCAAAGTTGGTAATACTTACAATAAACATGTAGCCCATATAATTTCAATAAACTCAAGTTCATGCTCGCTCCATCATATTTTTTCACAATCCTATTAAAGATAACCTTTAACATTTTGAAGATTTTAATTTTATCATTAAAAAATGGGAATGATTGTGCTGGTTCGGTGGCCCACTGATTTCACCAATCGAAAATTCAAGATCTGTTGGCTTCATAGACCAGATAATGTCTATTTTTCGACCAGCATTACGGTCTTCCCCATCATCTTTCTCCTGATTATGATCTTCTGATGAAGCAAACAAACTTTTTTTACCACTAAGCAAAGATACATTAAGCGTATTACGATTGTGTTAAAAAATGCGATGTAAAAAGTTTTATTGCATTTTATTCATATACCTACAAATAAATGCTCATTTGACAGTGCATATTACGAAAAAGACTACGTATTAGAGGTGTGAAGAATATCTCCTGATATCCAAGTTCAGACCAATTATAGTCTACGAAATCATCATCCCTTTCGAATGATTCCACGCTAAAAACTTAAATGTAAGACATAAAGCAGAAAAAATATATTTACTGTAATGGTTCTTACAGAAGATTCAAGTAGTCCCATATAAATTTGGTAGTGTTGTTAACTCGCGTTCTCAAATAGCTCTCATTCACATAATTATGAAAATTTTCAGTCTAAATTGCAGGACATTAATTAGGATAATTAGAGCAGAGCAAAGCAACAAAATATTTATATCAGAATGGTGTATTTACGCAAAATTAATGATACCTTAATAAAACCAATAATATATTCTTTCATTCCATCTATATTATCCATACCAGGTGTTGGCAATGACTTTGACTGTCTTATTTCATGCACTACGTTATCTGGTAATGATCGCACAAAATCACTATTCGAACCTGGTGTGACATCTATGATGTCATAGAATGCTAGACTAAAATTTTCAACATCAATACGTGCATATATCAGATTGTTCAAATTTAAACACATGTATTTATAAAAATACTCACTCAGTGTGCAGTCGAGCCTTTTCTTGCTTCTATTCGTTAACATGTCACGTATATCAGTTTTACATACAGCCCATCTTTTTCCATCATCCCGAATGGTCTCCTTAGCATACGCTTCCAATTCATTATTCATTTCCAACGTAGTAATCCGCGATGCTACTTGAAGCGCCAATTCATTATTATTGACGGTCGTACTTTCAGCTTTTTTCTGAGAAATATTGGAATTATTGGTTGCATTCCTTTGTTTCTGAACCAGTGAAAAAAAAATTTATTAGCATTATTTCATAGAAATAAATTAAAAAAAAATTAACCTACCAGATGTTTACCATCATCTATTCCATTGTCCAATCGCTCATGAAATAACATATGGGCTTCACGTTTTCGTTTTTTTACTTTACTCTAACATTCAAAGATTTTTGCTTTTATAACAGTTTAGTCAGCTAAAATAAAAAAAAGACCTGCATACATTGACTTTTATATCATTTTTAAAATCCTTATAACGTTCCCAGTCGTCTTCATATTCGTCATTTTCCTATTCCCTTTTTAAATCTAACAACTTTTTAGAATCGGGAGCCTCTTGCAAAGCTTGGTTTAATCGTAATTCGTAATCCCAGTGGGCATTTGAGCTATTACGATATCTAAACTTCTTAAAAAAGTTCAACAGGCAAGGATTTATGTGATCTAAAAAGTAACTTGCTTGTTCTTCGCAATGCGTGGTCATTATTGTATTTAGGTAAATAGTAAACCCACAATATATATGGGTTGTTATCAATTTTTTAATATTAAATTCATATAAATTTTGACGTGGTTGAGTTTGCATAAAGAAAAATTACATCAGGCCAACACATCACGAGATTTCCCGATGGTCACCTGATTGCCTTTAACCAATCAAAATCGTGAAATTTGATTATTCCCGGATCAGTCCGAAAATCAAAACAAATGATTAAACTCAATTATCTCAAAATAAAATAACACGCTATACCTGATCCCGAAATTTGATTGGCTAGCGAAAATTTTTTTAACTGGTATTTTTAGGGAATCTAAGCGAATCTTTACTCAAGCAGAAAAAACTGAGCTTATTTGCTTGAATTCTGAGGATGTTTTCATATTAAATATAAAAATCACAACCTCTGCGCAAGCGTCTGCTCGGTATTAAGTCGAAGGTCGGGAAAAGACTGAGCTCATTCATCGGATAAGCAGGGACTGAGTGTCCACCTGCGAATGACTGCACTCGACCAGATGGATACGCTTCAACGCCAACTGTGTTTACATGCATTATTGAAACTCAATAGTTCACATCCACGTGTCAAATTAAAATTTAAAACCTAATGTTCTATGCAACTACGAGGTATTTATTGATTCCTTGGAAATATTTATAGATTCGGAATAATTCATATTTAAGTTCTGTTAATAAGCGAGGAATTTTATTTGGGTACTTTGAGCAGGTAAGGTTAGAATTTACTCTGACACTGTTATTATACTGTATTACCAAATCGATTTAACGTTAATTATTTGAGAATTATCACATTCACATCGCTTATATATGTCATCTGCATTCGTCACAAACCTTACACCCATGCTTCCAGCCTCTAAAGATATGCCACTTTTCGATGTAATTTCGATTTTTTTTATTTGTTAATACGTTATCATTGTTATATATTAGCTGAAAAAAATATATACGTGTTCTAAATTTTTTATCATTAAAACCTGCAATTAGTTGATACTCAATATTGCTACCGTTATGTAATATCAATAATATAGTACATACGTAAGTAAAATTCATTTTCCTGTTGATCTTTCTGATAATGCAAATAATTTTTGTTACTTCAACAGATCAACCGCCTATACTGGATATATTGTAAAAGTCAAAACGAACTACAATAAATAAATTAATTCTTAGCAAACAAATATATTTAAAAATCAAATTATAGATAATAGCTTTATTAATTTTGTAAATATATATGAAAATAGCCCGGGCCAGCTAAGTATAAAATAAATATTGGAGTAGCAGATGTTTAAAGGGAGGAATAAAGCATGAAAGATCATGCCTGCTGGCCCCTAGACCATAAGATAGCAGTTCCTTCCTGCTACTTCATATAATCTAACCATCTACCTATATCATTAAGTGTGGAACTTTTACAACTAGTGCTATTATTATAAAAATTTTTAATTGTTGCTGTTTTAATTTTACCATCAAGGTCTTGGATGCATACCTCTATCCTGTTACATATTTTATCAAAGGTAAGATTTCTTGCATTTTTTTCTTGATCAAATACTTCTTTAAAGCAGGCCCAGATGGTTAAGCTAATATTTGAATATTGAATTTAATCAGATCCTGTAGAATTCGATGATTGTATTGAAAATGATGATTGTATAGATGATGATAATGTTTTACTTTGGTGATCAGATTTTTTTCTGCTCATGTTTTGAATAAGAGAGTATTGTTAATTGATTTTATTTTGATGTGTTATGATAGTTTTTTTGATTGTTTTGAATTTATTAATAATTTGATTAAAATTATTGTAATAGGTTTCTAAAACCTGTTTGATTTCATTATATTTCTCATACACATCATTGATTATAGTAATGATATTTTGCGCCTTTGACATGTAGTTGGCATTGTGAAAATTAATTTTTGCGATAAGTTTATCATTGATTTCAGCTTTGATTTTGTTAATTTTTGTGATAAGTTTTTGCACATGGTACAAAAAAAAACACAAATCAAAGATCTCTATACACAGAAGAGTATAATCAGAGAATATTGTTACGAGAAGGAAAAACAAAGTAGTTAATGTTATAAAAAGTATATTTTCTGAAATGTTGAATGAATGCATCTGTATAAGAAAAGAAAATCTAATTAGAAAATTAATCATAGAAAACATATAGACATTCAATTACAAGCAAAGATACTTTTATTTTTAATGAATTTGCTTTTATCAGTATAAACTTTTATTAATTATATTGTGATTCTTTATTTTTTTTTAATTTTATAGAAGTAGTTGTATAAAAAAAAAATCTCTTCTTTTATAGATTAATAGTTATGTGATCAATTATTTTATGTAAAGCCTCGAACTTATTAAAAAAATGTTAATTCATTATTGAAAAATAAAAGTGAAGTCTCAGATCAAAAAGTCATAAACTGGATAACAAAGTAGAATGATACAAAATCTTATTTAAAATTATCAGGAGCATTAACATATCAGATCTGTAGATTGAGTTTCATATATATGTTTTTAAAATGGGATTATATTAATAAAATATACTATTCTGAGATAAGCATCATTGGATAAATTTTATACCTCTTATCCATAATTTGCAAAAAATTCACATTGATCATTTTCATATTATAATCCACAAATATAAATCAGGAATATCTTATTAATAATTCAAGGTTGCATAATAAAATTTATACCAGAACTTTTGAGTAAAAAATAAGTAACTATGCATCATAGTTGCACTAAACCAGAAATGAATAATAAACTGTATAAACAAAAAACAGTGTTTAGAGTTTCAAAATTAAAACTAAAGAATCTTAATTTATTTTGAAATATGCAACTTATTAAAACCCTCTGAGGCCCATTATAATGTAATGTAATTTTATGATTATAATTAATTTTGTAGCTATATATAAGATCAGATGCATCAAAGATACTATTTATAGCTCCTTTATAAAGCTTAATAATTAGATATGATAGCATTCTTAATTTTCAAGTTTATTAGCATTTTGACTTATAAAGTGAGGAGGCTATGCCTCTAAATTTTTTAAGTTATTGCTTTGCAATAATACTGATCTTGAGTATATTTTACAAATATTCCATCTGGTCTGAATTGAGCTCTGAATCATCTAATGATAATTAATCTTTATTATAGATTTGAAATAGTTTTGCTTAATTGGCACTAACTCCACAGGGCCTGTAGTTTATTATGACATAGTTTTGCACAGAAGAAGTATAGTTGTCAGATGAGTGATGTAAACACTCTCTAGCAATTGTATAAGTGTGAGCCATATTCTTAGCATTATGTGCTACTACACCATAAACAGCATCTATTTTTTATAAGTATTTGGGAATTAGATTATAATCTTTTAAGAATCTATTAAACCATTTAACTCCTGGCTTATCTGGATTACCCATTTGACCAAAAGATATAGAATTTTGTATCCAAGTAAGTAGTTCCTTAGCTCATTCTTGGTTCTTCTTCATAGATTTAAATTTTCTAGAAATATCTAGTTAACCTCTGTTCTTAGCATATCCTGTTACTCCAGCATCTGTAATACATAAAGTTGTAAGTTCAGCAAGACAAATACAAAGCATCACCATAACATCTGCGAGAACTTGTAAGTTGGGCAGGTTAGAAATATCATACTTATCTAATCTTTCCTTAACTGATTCTAATGTAAAGTGGTCTGGATAATCAATTCTCTCAAATGTCTTGACAAATTTATGTTGATCTCTCTGAATTTCATTGGCATCTTTTGTAATATCAGAAAATTTCATAGCTTCAATTATTTAAAATGAAGTGCCAAGATTTTTTAGTTCTCTTTGGAGTCAAAAAAAACATGATAAGCCAGCATTGGCATTTGGTACTGAATTGGCCAAAATACAAGCTTTAGCTTTTACAATATTAGCACTGAGATTATCTCACATAATTCGATGTGCCATTTCTCTGATAGTTTTTTCTGAATTTTGTAGAGTTGGATAAAAAATTTGGTAACTATCAGAAGTTGCAAGATTTATGACTTTAGTTTTACCACTTCTTTAGTTGGGTATCAATATACTTATCTGTTCACTACTAAATTTAAAGTCATCTCGAAGATGTCTGATTCTGCTTTCTATCATTAGTAAGATTCTCGAGAAACTCTAAGGTGTATTTACTGAGATTGGTTACATCTATTTCGAGACTGAGATTGTATTTTTTTACAATTTTAGTTGTGATGGCTAACATAATTGAATGTTATAGCAGGTCAAGTAGTTTATGAGCAATTCTTTAGATTATATACATTATAAAATTAATTTTCAAATTAAAATTAATTATGCTTTTTCCTCCTATATCAGAAAAGAGAATATGAAGCTATATATAAGTATTTGAGTTGTTGATTTGAATTTTATTAATATATAAGTTATAATGAAAAAAATTTATAGCTTTGAGTTGTGATGACTCAGGCTAATAATTGGCATTGTGTTTTATTTTTTAGTATAATGCTCGAGCTAGAATTAATATATGTTTTGGCTTTAGAACATTTGACTTAGTAAATGCATCATATAAGCTGTTTGGACTATATTTTGAGGAAATCAAATTCAGATGATAGAGAAATTTCATAAATATAACACTTCTTCATTTCATATGCTTTATTACTATCCTAACATATTTCTAATAATGCAGATAAGCTGAAGTAATTCATCTCAATCAAGTTATCTAAAGATGTTTTTCCATTTCTTTTTATAATGAAAAGACTTATTTTTTTTTCGATGACAGATGACATAGTAATTAGACATCTTTCACATATATCTTCTTTTTGGCTAAAATAGAAAGGGGTAGTATCAGAGCAGGATAATAAAAGTCAGCTAAGAGGTAAATTGTACTATATTCATCTAAATTGATTAGTAAAATATCTTCTAAATAATGCATAAGATCTCTGGCATATTTATATCTTTTGCATAACAATCTATTATATAATTTTTCTTTCCTTTTAATCCAACAATTAGTGAAGAGATTAAGCACTTCTTTGAGGATATTAGAATTTTGGTTGTTCATTTTGTCTGTAGTAATTATATAGTGTCAATATATTAAGTGAAAATGAGAATATGTTTTTATCAAAAATGTTTAAAATGTTCAATTACAATTTTTATATGATCCCAATAGCATTTTTATATTAAAACTATATACATTAAAAGTGAAAGACATTTATACCATTCTTATATCAAAATTATTATAAAAAGTCAAAAACTTAATTCAAATGATTATTGCATAACTTGTCAATATATCAAGAGGAATGAGTCAGTTTGTAAAAAAGTCTGTACTCAGACCATGGGTTGTGCTAAACACTGGAGTTTATAAGTTTATATGAAAAAATCTTCTTACAAAATATATGGCATATGTACATTATCTTACATAGGATATTGCTCAACTCACACTAAAAGAGTTTATTTTAACAATTAATATGAAAAACAAAAGACAAAATCAGTAGAAGCAGATACATAATTATCAAAGATAGCAAAGCTATATATTTGTGAGTAATATTTTTATTAAAAATTTTTATATTAACTTATTTGTAAGTGCAAAAAAATCTCCTCTTTTACCAAAACTTCTATATATGAAACTTACCTATTCACTCCTTATTGACTAAGCAATTACTATAACATACCATTTTCCTGGAGTATGTTAATAGTTTTTTTTCAGTTTTCATCAGTATTGAGCCATGATAAGGTGATTCTATCTTTCTTAAGAGAACAACAAATTATTTCTTTACTTATCAATCTTTCTCATACTGTCATGTCTATATATTCTTTAGGGTTTTCTTCAGCCTTCTTTGCATAACCACACATTCTTGCATTAGTCTGCATTCTATCATGAAATGCTATGAAATTGAGCTTTCTTTTTCAGTAATAGTAACGAACTTATCTAGATCCTTGCCAAGCTCAACTGCTTTTTACCTTAATCATATTTCTTATTGCTCTCTGGTTTAATATCCAAATAGGTATGATATCTGCTAGGAAGATACTTCATTGCTAAATTCTGGTTCATCATTTGTAAATAAGTCAGAAGAAGTCTCAGATTTATTATCAACTGATTCATTGATCTTGGGAGAAGGTTTAAGTTTATTGTCTACTGATTCTACATCTGTGATCTCAGGAGATAGAGATATATTAGTAGACTTGGATAACAAAGCAACTAAAAATTCTAGTCGATCTATTATAAAATCGAAGAGAGCCTGGATTATGTTAGTAATAGGTAGGATAGATGTTGAATCCTTACTTTTTCTAATGTAATTTGTAGATAATGGAATAAGTTTTATTTTTTCCGATTCGGAGGTTCTGAATTCTGGAACATTGAATACAAGGATATCTGTGGATTTATTAGTAAGTGTCTCAGGTTGAAATACATTAGAAAATTTCTTAATATTACCTATTGACTCACGTAATTTAGCTACGATCTTGAATCAGTCAAGGATATAGACACATTCTCTTTTTCTATTGATTCATATCTGCTTTTTTTCAATCCCTATCGGTAGAAGAAAACCTCCAAATTTATTGTTATTGATTTGATCCTCATCTTCATTTCCACACCAAGTAAAATAATCTTGATATAAATTTTCAGAAATTGGTTTTTTAATTTGATTTTTGGACCATAATTTAATATATTGTATTATAAAGCAGATGGGATTTGAAAGTTGTTTTATTATTTTATCTGTTTTTATTTTAGTAATAGGGAAATTTTGCAGACTCCACTTTAACAGATTATGACTAAAAAGATATGACATGACTACTTCTAGTGCATCAGGATGATTAAGAATTTCTCCTAGTCTATCGAAATATGCAATATTACTTCTACAATATGCAGATATATTAAAACAAACTATATGAGCATCACCTGCCTCTATTTTTAGCAAAGCATTCTGATTACTTGTAACCATAAATCTACTAAAATTATTTATTTTTAAAGTTTCAAGACCTTTGCATTCTATACTTACCTTTCTCTCTGTTATAAGAAATTTAAGATGACCATTAAACCTATGCCACTTCCCACTAGACATACTGATTTTATTCATGATTATAAGCTTTTTAGCTTGAATAATACTGTTAAATTTCTCAAGAATTTTTCCCAAATCAGATGTTGCATAATAGAGATTTGGCCCTAATACCTTATCATCAATAAAATCAGTAATAATATTTTTTTCACACTGTTGTAAAGTGGATTTTAATACAAGAATTGATCTTGGTTTCTTTTCTGGTTTTGTACTAAATATGCCTATCAGTTCCAGATATAATTATTGAGTTCCTTATTTCCATTACAGATTACATTTTTTACATGCCAAAAGATAGGATTCATAATTTCTAAATTAATATCTTTTACTGATTTAGCTAGAAATTTCAGGAAAAGATTAAAGAAATTTGTTTTTAGTGAGATTACATTTAGAGGATATAGGAGAAAGTCAATTTCATCATAATGTATCAAATTTTTTGTAACTGCTTTATCTATCAGAAAATGTAATTTTACCACTTCTCCTCCATGTTCAATTATATTAATTGTATGCTTTACAAGATCTAATTAATGTCCCATATCAAAATAAAGACCATTGAAATTTTTAAGTTTAACTATCCAGATTGTTTTTCTCTGCTTAATACATGCTATTATTGCCTGAATTGCACTATATGCCTTATTATGTGTAAATTTTTTCTTAGATATACATATACGAAGTAAGTCTTCACATATGAAATAGTTATTTGAATCTGAAATTCTGAACTGGTCTAATTTCTCTGAGATTAGAAGCTTGTTTTTCTGATCCAAAATTGTTTTATCAGTAACAAGCTTTAATGAAGGATTTCTTGTATGAGGTTTCTTTTTTTGATTTGCACAATAACAGTAGAAACTATATAATTTTTTATTTCAAATAATATACATATTCTCACTATCATGTGGATCTTTATTACTATATTCTTGTTCACAATATGGGCAGTGTGATGAGGTTATGCATTTAAGAGAAAATGTATTAGAAAATTTATCTGTTGGGAGTAATAATTCATATTTTTCAATATTAGCATCTTTAAGTAATGTTTCTAACAATTCAAGTTCAACTTCAGTAATATTATATATTCTTGTTAATACAGATTCTGGAACAACTAAAAGAGAACTGTCTACTTCAGGAGATTCATTATTAGAAGAATGAAGCATAAAGTCAAACACAGTTTCACCTTTTGAAAATAATACTCTCTTTGGATGAATATGCTTATATATTTTTTTATTACTTTCATTACATTTTATTTCGATTACCTTCGGGGTATTAAGAATTCGTAAGAAAAATGAGCTTTTGATAACAATATTAATAACAATTTTCTTGCTTTGCAGTCCTACTGGGAGTTTATTATGAACAAGCTTAGTAAATACTGCAACTTTGACAATATTTTTTAGTCTTAAATCAAAAGTAGAGATATAAAGTGATATTTTTTTCTTATCATTACTGCTAGCAATTGTTAAAGTATAGGATTCCCATTCTGGGTATATTTCTTTACAAGTTTTTGAAAAGGCACAGCAAAGTAAATCTCATATCTCTTTACATATAAGTTTGGGTTCAATTTTATCAAATTTTTCTCAGGATAAATCGAAATCTATGAATGGGTAAAGTGGGTCATCTTCATCAATAAATTTATGTAGTGAATGTTCTTGCCATTTACTAAGTATAGCTTTTATCTTATCTTCAGTATCTGTTTTGAGAAATTGTCTTGGCTTTATACTATTATTGCAGATTTTATACTTATATTTAGCAACACTTACAGCTTTAGCCTCCTAGTAGTAGTGCATCCTACTATTTTCTTTCTCTACCTCTGGTTCGAAATTTTCAGTAATTTCTGAGCTCTTTAGTCGAGAAGGTACTGCTACTATCTCTACTGGTGCGTGATCGATATTTTCTTAGATTTTTTGGGTACTTATAAAAATTAAGGATATTTTGAAATTCTAATATATTAATCTAAGAAAAAAGTTTAATTTAAAATTATTAATTAATTAGGTTTACCTTAAATACTAATATTAGCAAGTTTTCAAAAAAATAATAATCAGTAATGACAGGTATTTATCTTTGTTAATATCTTTCTAATAAAGAAAAAGTCTGCAGATGGCTTTGCTATTGACCAGAAGGATGTGCTATTTACTGGAAAAGACATCAACATGTCTCTTATTTAAAATGTGATAAACCAACTGCTTCCAAGTATAACTTGTATAATTTGCATGCAAATAAATATTATGTTAAAGCTCACTATTAGCAAAAAAGGCTGAAGAAGATGGTACAAAATGGATCTGAGGTAAAAGAATCTTAGTAATTAGTATATAATATATATCTATTGATTGGAGGTTACATCCAAGTTTTTTTCTAAGATGAGAATTAGGATAGAAAAAATATATAGTATTAACGACACAAGTTGACACAAGTTTATTATAAGTAAAAAAATTGGTAGAAAAATAGGTTTTTGGAAGTCTAAGTTTGAAAAAAACTGTTCTTGATAACTGTTACAAGTTGTTACAAGTTTGTTTTAGATAAAAAATTGATAGAAAGATAGGTTCTTGAAAGTCTGAGTTCAAAAAAAACTATTCTTAATAACTGTTACAGCTGTCACAAGTTTCTTAGAAAAATTTTTTTAATCATAGCTTTTTACTTTTTTCTATAGGTGTATTATATATATATTAAGAACAGATATATATATATATGTACCATAGGTAAGTATATGTATCATAGATATTGAATATATTATATATATATATATATATATTGAATATATATAAAAGGTATATCATGGGAAAGAGTTTTTTTCTTTTAGAATTCTACTATTTTACTTAAGTAACTTGTGACAGATATAAAGAAGTAATCAAGAAAGAAATAAAAAAGCTCAAAACTTTTCTTTCATATCAAACAGCTGTTACAAGTTCTGTTACGAGTACCTACAAACAACTAGTAACATCTAGTGGCAACTTGTGACAAAATTTTGGCAAATGATATGTTGCATATAGAAGTAACAATGCAAACATAAAATTATCATTACTCAAATGATGATGCAAGCATGAATCATTTATTACTCGAATAATGGAGTGAATACTAATATATCTCTGATGATGCAAGCACGAATCATTTGTTACTTGAATGATAACACAAGTGTAAATCATTCATCACTTAAATGATAGAGTAAATACTAATATATCTCTAATAACACAAGTGCGAATTATTTGTCACTTGAATAACAACAGGCATATGATCACATCATTAGACATAACCTAGATTAAATAAAAATAACATAATTATGTTATTTCCACTTATACATATATTAAATTATAATGCTTATATTGAGTATTATATTTTATTTTTAGTCTTTATATTTTATAATTACTTATATATTAAAACTCTTAAAGCAACAACTTTTAACATTATTATATTAAATAAGTAGGAGTATTTAAAAAAGTTGGCTTGTTTTTTTAAACTTTTTATAATCACTATAATCAGTTTACATTACAGAGATTTTTACAGATTAGTAGAGGGTTGTAATCATGTTTAACTACTAGTGAAGTGTAAGTTATTCACTCAAATTTTTTGTACTATACACTAATTTTATTACTGCTTTATTGTCAATTTAAATAAACAAATATAAGTTTACTCAGAAGCAGTATATATAAATGTTTAAGCATTTAAGTTTGGTCATTGAGGTTTATTCAAATGTAAAGTTGTTAATAAAGTACTCTAGATTATAATAAAACATATAATCTACTTCAGAAGTGCTCTAAAGTGAATTATATTTATAACCTAGCAAATCATATAAATATTTCTTTCTATATCTAGTATAGCAGTAAATATTACAATATTATTGATTATATTTGGGCCTACCTTTCTTTACTCAAATATCTCAATTTATTTTACTTGAATAATGCAGAAAATTGCATCCAAAGTAATCACAAAAGTCCTATATCTTCTTAAATATTTTACTATACTCTTATAAACAAAAGCAGACATTTATCAGAACTAAATATAAAACTTTTAATTACAAAGCAATAAATAAAGAGCAATAGGAAATCTTTGTTAACCAAGTTTCTTTTAACTTTATTATAAACAAAACTTTTCTCTCTATTCAAACTTTAAATCTTTTAAAACTATCTAGTATAAAATTTAAACTAATATTATTAATGCTACTACTAAATGTATTTTTAACAAAAAAACAACAATTCACAATTTTCAATATTTATTTTTAGTTAAAGCTACTTTACCTAAATCTTAAAAAACTTAATAACATTATTAGACAAGTTAAAGCTTTCTTAACCAACTCATTATTAATATCTGTATATTTTAATTCTATAATATACCATTTTAACTCAACACATCATTTTAATATACCTCTTATACCTAACTTTTATAAATTTATTTATTTTTTTTAGTATTAAAATGGCTTCTTTGGTCTTTTGACTTTTATTAATAATTTTTTTGGTAATGTAATTTTATAAACTACTACAAAAAGGTGTAAATCAGTATATCAATCTTTGATGCTCTAAACTTTAAGCCAATTAAAATCAATAATAAATAGTATACTTAACTGTTACAAAAACTTTGTAAAATTTAACAATATTAAAACACTAAACAATATTATTACAGATCTCAAATCTATTAAAATCATATTTAAGAACATTTTGATAACTAGACTGCCTACAGACCTATTAATACTTATAAATTTACTACTAACTAGTTTAAGAAATATGAACTAAAAATTATGACCAAACCAGACTACTATAATTTAGTTTTAACTAAATTTTTATTTAATGAGATCTTTACAACTCTTAGCTAATTTTCTAATAACAAAGCATATAGCCTATTTGGTATTAGCTATAAAATGCTTAAACAGGCCAGTTCTATTTTTTTTAATCAATAACTGTTCTATTTAATTGATGTATTCTAACTTTTCACATATATAAGAAATGAAAAAAGGGTTATATTTTTTAATATCCAAAAAACTTATTTTTAATAAAAACCTATTTAACATAAGATCTATTAGTTTAATTAAATATATTAAAAAATTATATACTAAACTTCTTACTAACTGCCTTAACTTTATATTTATGTAATATTCTATTTTATCTTTTTATAACTATATTGTTCTATTAGACAATAGTATCTCTATTTCTATATATATACTTAACAATATTATTAAAAATGCTAGTTGTAATAATAAACAATTATAGCTTCTATCTTAGGACATAAGTAAAGCATATAATTTTGTTAATTTAGAACTCTTTACAAAGTCTCTTAAACAGATATTAATGCCTTAACTTCTAATTAATATACTTACTAACCTTCTTACTAATCACTAAATCAGATTATATCTAACCTTAATTTTAATAATTTTTATTTAGTTAAAAATAGTATAGATCAAGATAAAATTATAACTTCTCTATTTTAAAGAATTTATTATAATCTTCTAATTTATAAAATTGTTTTACAATTTTTAGAATACTTTTTGTCTGCATTTTGAAAAACCAACTAATATTTATTCCAAACACAAACTTTAAAAACATCTGTATTAGTTCTAGTCTATATGGATAATATTCTTTAAATTGTACAGTTCAAAGAAGAACTCAAGTTAATAACTAAAACTGCTACATTCTTTTACCAAATAACTAATATTTAAATTAACTTGACCAAGTTTATTTTAGTTACAAACTTCTCTACTACTTTAATATAGTTTCTGAATTTTTAATTTATTTTATTTTTAAAAACCAATTCTTCAAGTTTCTTGAATATTGGTTCACACTTAACAATAAACAATCTCAAGCTATTAAACTAATAAAAGAAAAGAATTCAATCTTATTAATATTATCAGTATAAAGAAAATTACTAACAAACAAATTGCTTATATTATTAATATAGTAATAATTTCAATTTTGAAATATAGATTAATAACACTATTCTTACTCAAACTATATATAATCAAATCTTATTTAAATATCTTACTATAGCAAAACACAAGTCTTATCTCTTTAGGTCTATATTAAACAGTACACAATGCTTAATCTATATTTATATAATATTTATAATATATGTAATATTCAACTCTAGTATCACAAAAAGTGTAGTGACTTAATAAAGTAAATAAATTGTCAACCTCTCAAATAGTAGATTAGATGTTCAAATATTATCAATAATAAAA